ACATGGCGTCGAAGAGCTACCTTGTTGTTTGGCGGGCGTGGCCGATGCGTGACTGAGCTGTTGTGGCAATTCCGAGGGCCCCCGCAAGGCTTCCTGGGAACCTCGCAAGAGCTCAGTGGAGGTGTTTTGGGGGGGCGGCTTGGGTGTTTTTTTTTAAGCATCCAATGAGCTATATGAGACATTTTTTTCGGGGGGGGGGGGGGGGGCGGCGTTTGGAAGCTCCAAGGCTTCCAATGAGACCTCTGGGGGGACCCGTTGGATTCAGGAGGTTGTTTGCAATGGTGTGGGGGCCTCCTGGGACCTTCCTGGGGGTCTCGTCGGGGCTCCTTGGAAAAAGCGTTATGGAGGTTTCTGGAAGGCCGCGTAGGCTTTGGGGGGCGTCTTCGGGGCCTTTTTGGGAGGAATTTCGAGACGCGTTTTGACAGCTTCTTGGGCCGTATTGGAACGATCTTGGGGGTCTCTGGGGCCATGATGGACGCTCGTAGAACCGGAAAGGCCGTACGATGCAAAACATTCAAAAACCAATGGGATTTAGATGATTTTAGCCTTTGGGGCTCTCTTTGGCGTTCCTGCCGGGTTCTCCTGAGTTATATTTAAAGGTTGTGGGCCATCTGGAAGTCATCTTGGGTCATCTTGGTTCGATCGGGAGCCGCCATGGAGGTACATGGTGGCCGTGTTGGGCCGGTGGATTTTTCCAGACCGCGACCCCGGAGCTCCCGACCCCTTGGGGGCAGTCCCAGATCCATCTCTGGGGAGTGGCCCCGCGGAGGCAGCGATCAGGGAAAAGTAGAGGGACCGAAGGTATCAGTCCCTTGCGCATGCCCGGGCTTACCCCCGCAGATCCAATTGACGCTGAGGTGTCGGACAACCCCGCTGGGGCTCACGCGGCCAAGAGGATGATGAGCGCGAGAAATCCAAAGCGGATGAGGATGATGATTGTGCAGGCGGGGCGGAATGATGTTGAGGAGGAGGAGGAGGAGGAGGAGGAGGAGGAGGAGGAGGAGGAGGAGCAGGAGGAGACCTTGCGAGGTATGAGCCTCAGCTGGTCTTTCGGAAAAGTCTGACCTGCGGGGGCAGGGCTCGCCCGTGGTTGCCCACCTCCGCGGACGACCTGCGTGCACCGTGCCGCGTTGGCGTCTCCCTGGGGGCGTCGTCGATCTTCGACCCGGGAGTGGTACGGTGCACAGCCCTTCGGCCTTCGGAGCCGACAGACTATCCACCGCACCGCGCTGGAGCGAGGCACGAGTGGGGCCCAAAGACTTCTCACGTCGCAGCGCGGCAGAGGCATTCAGCACGCGCGCGCGCGGGCAGGCCGGCTGACGGTGCTGCGAATCGTTTGGATGCGGGGGTTGCTGAAGGTGCCCCTGGCCCCAGGTGCCCCCCAGCTTTTCACTCAATGTTGGATCCCCTGGGGTCCTCAGGGCCGCGTGAGGGGTGTTCTGGAGGCCGCGGGGGCCTCCTGAGGAATCCTGGGGACACCTTGGGCCAGGGGCACTTCTAGCAGCACCCGAGGAGAGAGGAGCGGCCGCGGGAGGCAGGGGAGTCCAGACACTCGCAGGCCTAGAGGTTGACACCAACACCAAGATCGGCGGTGTGCCTCCACCGAGGGAAGACGATCCCGATCTCGGTGATGGTGGTACTGTTCCTATTCTGCCTTCCAAGGTCACCGAAATGCTACCACCAGCACCGAAGTTCAGGATCGTCTCCCCCGTGTGGAGGCAGACCCCCCTGTGCCGGTGTTGGGGAGGCCCACGTCCAGGCCTCCGAGGCACGGCGCGGCCCGTGCGCGCCGTCCTCGCCCCCGCGGCGCGAGGACCGGGCCCACAGCCGGGTGGGGACCCCGGAGTACCAGGCGCCCGAGATCGTCCAGGCGGGGGCCGCGCTGCGAGCGGCCGTCGGGGCCGCGGGGCCCCGACGGCCGCGGGGCCTCGAGGGCCGAGGAGGGCCGAGGGCCTCGAGGAGGACGCTCGAGGACCGAGGAGGACGAAGGGGGGGGGGATTGGGAGAGGGGGGGGTGACGAGATCTGCTGCATGCAGCTGGTTTCGGCCCCACCGAGGGGCCCGTTCCTCGATGCATGGGCGCCGGGCGGCGCCGGGGAAGTCAGATGCGTGAGCTGATTCTCAAACCCCCCCTTTGCTATCCCCCCTCTTCGCTCGTCCCGAGAGGACCGAGGAGAGCCAGTGGCAGAGTGTCGAGGAGGATCGAGGATCGAGGAGGAACGGTCGAGAGGGGAGCCGATCCACTTGGGAGGTCTGGGGCCCCTCTTTGGGGCCTCCTGGGGAGGCCCCTGACCGTTGCAGGCCGGCCAGGGGCCAGGGGGCCCCATGCCGTGCCATGGGCTGCAACTTTTGGACCCCCGCCGCAGGCGGCGCTGCGCAGCCGATCGGGGGAGGCCCCTGGTCCTCTTCCGTCCAGAGCGTCGCGACCCCAGATATCCGAGGGGGCGACTTCTTCAACGGTGCAGTGCGCGGCCCCAGAGGTCCCGACCTCTTCGCGGCGGCGCAGCTCTCCGTCCAGGGCCAATGTTGGATGGCCCTGGGTCCCGATGGCGGGCCCCAGAGGCCGACGTCGAGGAACAGCATCGAGATGGGAAAAGACACCGCCGGACCGGCGAGGGCCCCCCGCTCTCCGCCAGGAGCCCCGACGGGAGGGCGCCGAGCCGTGTCGCCTGCAAGGGGGGGCCCGAAGACCCGGGGGGCCGCGCGCAGTTTCCGCCCGCGTCGGAGGCCCGCGCGGCGCGCCACCGCCGAGGGCCGAGGGTCCGACGGCGCTCTGCGGCGACGCGCGCGTGGGGACACGTGCGCGCGGGGAGCGAGGAGGAGGAGGAGGAGGAGGAGGAGGAGGAAGCGGATGAGGGAGAGGGAGAGGAGGAGGACAGGGGTAACTCGGTTGCGAGCAAGGGTGGCCCGTCGCAGGAGTGACCTCTGGTCTTGGCATCGCTCGGACGCGTGCACTTTCTTTTTCGGCGAGGACCATCGAGGAGTCTCCTCGATCACTTGGCGAAGAAACCACGCACGAGACCGAAAAAGACAGGGAATGGACGTCCGAGCGATGGCGAGTGGTGCGGGCACACAGGGGTCCCCCGTGGCGGGCGGCCCGCGCGGTCGGATTCATTCCCCCCCCCCCGCCCTGTCCCCCGCGGCCCCCCAGAAGCCGCGCACCAGGTGGCCTTCTTGCCTGGGGCGCTCCTGCGTGACCTCTGGTCTTGGCATCGCTCGGACGTGTGCATTTTTTTTTCTTTCGGCGAGGACCATCGAGGAGCATCCTTGATCATTCCGCGAAAAAACCACGCACGAAACCGACAAAAAACACAGGAAATGGACGTCCGAGCGACGGCCAGTGGGGGGCAGGGGTGGAGGAGGCATGCGTCCGCGCGTGCCCGTGCGCGGCTCCGCGTGGCCCGCTCACGCCCGCGCGCGCGCTCGCCCGCGCTCGCCCGCGCGCGCCTGCGCGAGCCGCGCGGGGCGCCCGCGGCGGGCACGGGCAGCACTGCGTTTGAATAGGGGATCGATTGCAGCATTGATTGGCTCCAGAAGTGGCTCTCCCGCCGAGTATCAGGAACCGCTCGCATGCTCGCAGATCTACGGGGCAGTGCGCGTAGTTTGCTCCCGGATGCGGCGGGGAGTTCCCTTTTTGTTGGGGCAAGTCAGTTCTGTAGTCGATGCCCTGCTCGATGTCTAGGGAGGGCTGTGTCTCTCTCTCTCTCTCTCTCCCTTGGGGTCCCCGCGTGGGCGCGGAGACAACCGCGCACCGCCGGGCGCGGGGCGCAACGCTGGGTGGCTTGGAGGGAGCGGAGCCCAGCCCTGAGCTCGGTCCAGAGGATGCACTCTCTCTCTCTCTCTCTCTCTTTTTTTTCTCTCTCTCTCTCTCACTCTCTTTCTCTCTCTCTCTCTCTCTCTCCCCCTTTCGATGTATGCATCTCTATATATATATATATATATGTAGATATATACGCACTGCGTCCCAGGCCAGCGGGGAGACCCACGCTCATTCCCCCATGGCGGTCCCGGGCCTCCAGGAGTTCTCTTTATCGCTCCACGACGACTTAGATGCCATCCAAGACGGCTCAAAACGCTCAAGATGGCTTCAGAGATGCCTCCAACACCTCCAAGAAGCTCCCAAGACGCCCCAAGAGGGCTCCCACGAGGCCTCCCAAGAGAGCCCCAAGAGACAAACATGGCCCCACTCCGTCGGGAAACGTATATGTTTACCAAATTCGCCTCTTGGCCTTTCACAGCGTAGAAAACGGCCCGAGAGGCCCCCAATATTGTCCCAAGACGGCCGAAGAGGCTCCTAGACGGCCCAAGAGGGCCCCCAGGCGACAGAAGATGGCCCCAGAACGCTTCAAGAAGGGGCCCAGAGGGGATCCCCGAACGGACATTTGACGTCTCCGCCACTAGAGGTCTCCAGGGATCCCGAAGAGGCCCCCAAAAGGTTCTCCGATAGACGCCCGAGCGGTAAGATATATGCCGAGCAAACCAAATCACCAAAGCTCCAGCAATACAGTGGATACCCATGCCAAGAAACACCCCGCTTGCCTCCAGGGTGCCCTGGGTTTCTTGGGCCTCCGATGGCTTTCTCATCGGAGGCGTGGCGTTCCGACGTCCAAACATCGATGGACGTCCTGGGGCCTCAGGATTGGGCTTCTTGTGGAGGGTTTCCTGTGGACTGGCCTCCACTGTGCTCATACAGTCGGGGCGCTGGAGAAGGAGCCCTTTTCGTTGGCGAGGGGCTCCGTGTTCCTTGATTGTTTCGCAGTTTGCCTCAGGTTTTCTTCAGCTTTTCGATGGGGCATCGAACTTTAACCGATAGGAAATAGGGGCCTCGTTCCTTATTCGGGGTTCCTTAGGTCAACGCCTCGACTGCAGGTCCTCCCCCCCGCTGCCCCACTCTGGAGGCTGGGGGGCCCGCTTCTCGTGGCGGGGGGGGGGAGAGCGGCCAGGCCCGCGGCCACGGCACCGCGGTGGACTGGTGGGCCCTGGGGGTGCTGCTGTTCGAGATGCTCGTGGGCCGCCGCGGGGGGGTTCGGGTCGGGCGAAAGGGGGGGGGTTGGGAAAGGGGGGGTTACGAAATCTGCTGCATACAGCTGGTTTCGGCCCGGCCGAGGGGCCCATTCCCCGATACATGGGCGCCTCCCGGCGCCGGGAGGCGCCGGGAAAATCAGCTACGGGAGCTGATTCTCAAACCCCCCCTTTGCTATCCCCCCCTTTCGCCCGACCCGAGGGGTGGACGGGATGGGGCCCAAAGAATATACACCACCACCACGTCGATTCCTCCTCTCTCCTCTTTCCAGCGAGAGGCAGGGGGGGAGGGAGGTGGTGGTGGTGGTGTATATTTTTGGGCCACCCACGGGAGAGAAGGTCGGGGACGGCCAAGAGGGGGGTGAGGACTAGAGGGGTGGATGTCATGGCGTGGGCCATGATATCTCCCCAGATTTCATGGCGCCTCTTCTTGTTCCATTACGTCCCCGGCCGCCCCCACTGGGGGCGCGCACGTGCCGCTGGCCATGATTTGCGCCCCCCACTCTTGGGCGCCCCCCTCTTGGCCGCCCCCGAGAAGGAGGGGGCAGGCGGCCCAAAAGCTCCGACGCCGGCGACGTTCTTTTGGTTCGATGCCGGCGTTTCCTCGACGTCGGCGGGATGGATCTGGGACGGAAAACGGTCTCCGGGGAACGGGTAGGGACTTTCTGAGGGCAATTTGTGAAAACATCGCGACGTCGGAGGTTTGGGGGGGGCACGAGAGGGAGGTGCGAGGAGGACGAGGCATGAGGAGGAGGAGGCACGAGGAGGAGGAGGAGGAGGAGGAGGAGGACCAGTGTAAACCCTAGACGCATCAACGATGTTAGAATGAACCCTACAAAGTCTCATAGGCCCGATGCAAGGTGTCATGTTCACTCAGGGAAGTGCTCCGTTGGGAGACAACCGTACGGATATTCTGAAGCATGCTAAAACACCATTCTCGGGACCCCAACGCCACGAATCAACATGACTGTTGCGTCTTGACGATCCTGAATCGTGCCAGAACACCGCTCCTGGGACTTCAACACCGCGAATCAACGTCACTGTTGCGCCCTGGCAATCCAGAAACGCTCCAAAACGTCATTTTTGATACGTTGGCCATGGGAATCCGCGAAAGTCTAGCACATATCTAAAGCGGATGTGCGCGGCGCTGAGGCGAGACCCACATTTTGCAAACGAGCCACCCTCAATCCGTGAAGCTCTTGCAATTGTGTTTAAACGAATGTGTGCTATGCGAGAGAGCCACATGTTGAAAACCACTGGCGCTCCATCCGCGAAGCTCTTGCAATTGTTTAAGACGAATGCGTGCGGCGCTACGGCCATAACCACATTTTGAAAACCACCCTGCGAGTCTCAAGCCCCCGATGTCCGAGAAAGATGAGAATGTATATGGCGTAAGCTACGTGTTGCATCCGACGCTGTATCGACTCAAGCGCGCCTTGCCGGCCCAGGAGAAAGGCGGGGCTCCTGGGGCCCAGGGTTGGGTTCTTTGGGCTCCTGGGGAACCCTAGAGGCCGAAGTGGGGTCCACGCGTGGTAGCGGAGCCCTGAGATACTTTAAGGGTAGCTCTTTGGGAGATGTTATAGTATCGGGAGCATAGCTCGCGCGCCGTTGCCTTTGGCTCAAGGCACGCGCGCCCTATTTGCCCGGACACCGCGAGTGTTCGCTATGTGCTGGAAAGACCGATACATCGATCTTATCCTATCTTATCCGTCCATTCATCTTACTGAACCGCGTCAGTACGATACCGGACGCTATTTGCCATCCGCTTCCCATGGAATCGGATGCTATTTGAGTTACCAGGCTCACTTTCGACTTGGTAGCGGAGCTGGCCGCACTCTCGTGTGGTCAGCTCTTGCTCTTCTTAACCTCATACTCTTCGGCACGATCTTCGTGACCACCTACCACCCTGCGCTATTACTCCCAGTACGTTTACGAGGATCTATCCAAGAGCAAGAAGCGACACGAGAGGTACGACGTCTAGACAACGACATGGGTACCATATACGCTTCATCATTGCGCTACCACCAACCGCTCGGCAACGAGCCAAAAGCGCAATACTTGAAGCAGGGGCGGAGAGATCCGCCAGATAGAGCGCCTCGAAGACTCGACAAGGCGCTACCCCAGCGCGGCAACGCGCCTAATAACCGCCCTTATCTACACAGCCTTGGGCTGGTTATCTTCGCTATCATATGGTTCGCGCTGGGGGCAGCAATCGGACACATGCGTCGTGGAGACAACAGCACCGATGGGCAAACACATGGCCCATATTGGGACCCTCAAGGCAACGTACCTTTCCGTGAGTACGTTTATGAGGTCAACGCATGGCTCAACGTCACAAGCGGACGTATGACGCCACAGGCCCAAGCGGCCGCAATACAACGCGGCCTAGGCGGCCTAGCGAGGACACTCGCCATGAGGGTACCGCCTGACATCATAAATTATGGTGCTGACATCGATGGGGTCCACACCGACCCAGTGACCTACATCATGTTCCTCCTAAGCATGAAGTTCGAACGCCTGGAAGATGAGCGCCAGCTCACTTCCGGCACACAACTCATCGACTTCCACGTGCCTCACGGGGAACGAATCGATGTCACCCTTACCCGATTCGAAATGGCCCGTCTTGAGGCACAGTCGGTGGGATTTGACTTTCCCAACTTCCAACTACTAACCACGATCTTGTTCCGCGCATTAGGCGTCGGCAACCAGCGAGCCATGCAACTCTTACAGCCACTTAATCACCAAATGCCCCGAACACAACAACAGTATGATGAGTTGCTGGAGAGGATGCGTTCGATAGGCCACCTATCCGAACGGTCTCCTGGTAATATAGGATCTGTGTTTGGAAGAGGAAGGGGATCTGGTAGTGGAAATTTCTACACTACCTTGACTACTGAAGCCCAGCCTGGGAACGGGCCCTCAAGCATATGGGCTGATGATCCTGGAGAATCCACTGCTCTACTAGCAGGAGATCGATCACAACCAAGCTGGGCAACCAGCCCTCCTTCCAGAGAACCACAACCACACCGCTCCTTATGGGGTGAATCAAACCCCCTAACCGACGGTGTATCCACCTACTTGGGAGACGAGGATTTCGACTCCGGCACCGACGCAGATACTGTATCATCAGATGGTGTTGAGGCTTTAGATTGGTCAGATATTATGAATATGAATAATGACAATCAGCGCGCTGAACATTTGTTCTGGTTACTACAACAGGCCAAACGAAGGTGGAGGAGGTTCACACGAAAACCAGTGCGTCGTGTTAGAAGGAGGATACGGAGGAGTTTTAAGGGAAAAGGTAAAGGTAAGCGTGGTCGTCGGAGGTTGAACGGACGAGGCATCGCGGCATTTCTCCAGAGGCTCTCAGATGAACAATATGATGAGATATTCTTTGGGGGAGAGGGCCGTGGCAAGGGCCGTAGAGAGACCTCAGGAAAAGGCAAGGGTAGGCGGGGAAACCCGCGAGGTAGAGACGGCCAGGTTCTTAAATGCCATGAATGTGACAGTACCGACCATCTTGTGCGAGATTGTCCAGCGAAGGGACATGGAAAGGGCAGGTCGACCGAAGTCCATGCTGGTTCAAGTGAACCATTCATTGAGTATCTGAGCCTCCAGGATTTTGAAGCCATGGAGCAGATATTTCACACTTGGGTCAGTTGCATGGACAATGTCGACGAGCTCGAGGCGTATGGTCATGGATTGTACGCGTACTACCTCGAGTACGTCCGCCGGTTCGTCATTGGCAATAACGAGCTCACTCCCGTGGATCACGGTACGCTGGGAAACCAGCCTCTTTCTTTCTTCGACTGGATGTTCGGGAACCCAGGTAACATCATGGCCTACGAAAGCAGTGACGAGGACATCACTGTAGAGGCCTCGCCTTCTGAGGTTGAACGCCACCTCCAACCCCCCCCCGAAATCCCGCCTGGAAACAGGCCTTCTTTGATGGGAGAATATCCCCAGACTACTGAAGACTTGATAGAAATGGAGTCTCAGGCGTTCGTGCAAGCTTTCATTGCAGGTGAACCAGAGACCCCATTTGTACCCCCTGGTTCGCTTGCTCCAGGCGAATACGGACCACGCGCTCTTCTGCAGACCCTCACGAGGATGCATGAGATACTTATCACCGCGTATCCCGAGAGTCAAGAGCACATCGAAGCTGACAGCATGATACTGCAGGATACCGACGCCTGCGGTAGCTCGGAGTTGTTGTTGGCAGCTCTGACTCTCATTGACAGTGTGCATCCTGAGGACGTGCAGAGACACCTGATATATTCCCGCGGTAGATGGCGCAATGCTCTGGAAATTGCTATCGCCATGCGCGGTCGTGATCTTCCTCCGCCAGGACGGGGTCTCCAGGCGGTGGGAATGTGGCCAAACCACACGGCCATGCGCAACATTGCCGGGCAGCCTGTGCTCGGCAACGAGCCTGAGCCGACAACAGCGCCTCCTACCCCGGGGCAGCCGAGCGACGCACAGACGCCGGCCATGCAGGGACACCTGCCTGTACCAGATACGCCAATGGCCATCATCATCGGTAGTTCTACATCAGAAGAAGAAGAAGGCGATGGTTGCGGACTAGATGAGGATGAAGCTACAATCCTCATGATGGAAGTTGATGGTGAGGAAGAGGTTGACTTCGATCCCGACGAGTCTGAATCATCATCACCATCGGCACAAGCGCCATTTGCGCCAAGCTCCAGCCAGCAGGGGAACCTGCCTTTGACGGACGATCCACCTGGGATCGCACAGGGGCCTCCGCAGGCGCCTCCACCGGTGGCCGCTCAGGCTGCTTCGGCAGCCTCTTCTGATGAGAACACCAGAAGGTCTCGTTCCCATACGCGCGTCAGAGGAGAGCCACATCCACAGGCTAGGCTTCCTCGTGAATGGAGGCAGGCTGGCCCGAAAGAACACGCTCTCAGGAGAGGTGGCCAGCTCCTTCCGCATAATGACCCAAGACGCCGAAAAGGGGAACACTCGGCCTT